CCTCTACCCATCCCCTCCTCCTTCTAAGCCCTCCCTCCCCACCCTCCCCTTCCCCTCCTAGCCCCTCCTCCCCTTAAGCCCTCCCCTCCCTACCCCTCCTATCCTCTACCTATCCCCTGTCCCCTAAGCCCTCCCCTCCCTACCCCTCCTACCCTCCCAGCCCCTCCTCCCCCTAAGCCCTCCCCTCCGAATCCCTCCTATCCTCTGCCCCTTCCCATCCTCTCCTCCCCCTAAGCCCTCCCCTCCCAACCCCTCCCCTCTACCCCTCCCCTTCCCAGCCTGTCCCAGCCCCTCCTCCCCCAAGCCCTCCTGCAACCCCTCCTCCCCTCTACACCTACCCACCTCAACCTCTCCTCCTATCACCCCACCCATTTCCTCCTTTCCCCTCCCCTTTCTTCTGTCCTGTAACCGGGCTTCCTAAGGACAGGTGGACCTAAGGACCCTCCTAAGGTCCTCTCCCCTCTGTTCTTCCTTCCCCCATCCTGTCCTCACCCTAACCCCTCTCCCCGCTGCTCCTGGGCTCTGCCCTCTGCTCCTCACTGTGCCTTCTATCCCAACCCTCCCTACAGATGCTGTTTTTTTCCATATGCTTCCCCTGTGTCTTCCTCTTCTGCTTCTTTATCCACGGCCTCTTCTTGGAAGGTGCTGGAGCAGGCCTCAGCCACCTGACCACCTTGGAGGTGAGGCGGCTTGCTTACCCCTCTGCTCCCCTGCAGCCAGCTTCTCTGCCACTTTCATGGGTTCCCCCCTCCGACCCCTCCCAAGTTCTCCTCTCCCTGCCACAGTTCTCTGCCTGGAAGTCCCTGGACCTGTGGCGGCAGGCAGGGGGCCATGTGCTCTACTCCCTGGGCCTGGGCCTGGGCACCGTCATCAACCTGTCGTCCTGTGAGGCTGGGGTTAGCAGCAGGGTCCAGGAAGCCGTTCTGGTGGCCCTGGTCAGCCTTATCACCTCACTGCTGGCCACATGTATCATCCTTACCACGCTGAGTTTCTGGGCCACGACCAGCGGCCCCAACTGCGTTAAGAAGTGAGTAATGCTAGAGCGTGAGCTGCCCACGTGAGCACAGTGCCACTGGTGGTTTGCCTCTGGGGGTCCATTTGGGTGGAGCAGGCTTGTCAGAGATGGGGAGACTTTGTACGAGCGAGAAGGAACCAGGAGCTTAGTGGCTGTGTAGGCTGACAGCAGGCATTGGGTGCTGAAGAGCCCCTGACACCCAAACAAATTGCTTGGCCCAGGAATTGTCCTCACTATATTCCCAGAGCTGTGTTGAGGGAGCGGTTGAAGCTGGTGTGGAGATGGGCTAGAAAGCATGGGGTGCACATGTCCTTAGGGTCCTCAGATTTATGGGCCCAAGGAATTCAATACAGAGGTGACAACCAAAGCACACAAAGCTGCCGTCCAACCCGCTGCAGCTAAAATGACATCCAAGAAACAGGCGCAGCTGGGGTGGGGGGTGCCGAAAGGTGGGGACACAGCTCAAGGGCAAAGTGAGCCCTCCTGATCCCATTTAAAGGCAGAAAAAAAAAATAACAAAATCTGTAACAGCCCCGGCTCAACTCAGTCCTTCAAAATAGTCTTCATCCTTGTTGCCTGTTGGAACAAAAGGCTTAAATACATTGAGACTAAACAAAATAAAACAAATACCTTTCTTCATTGTACTTCAGTGTATAAAGTCCAGTATATAATGAAAGATCTCAAGACATCCCCCAAGCTAGGAAAAGGTAACCCATTGCATGGGAAAAAAAGGCCAAAGACCTAACCGTCCAGATATTAGAATATGCAGACAGGAGCTTTCCAGTGACCATGGTCAATACGCTAAGACATTTAACAAAAAGATGAAGAAGATGTGACTATAATGGAGGTATTTTAGAAAGGATATACAGGTTGAAAAAGAGTCCCATGAAAATTCTAGAACTTCAAACGTAGGTAAAACCCAAGTTGCACTGGTTGTATTTAGTATGAGTGGGGACCAGAAGGGGAACAGGAGCCGTGCAGGTGCAGACAGCAAAGCAGACGTTACAGCAAGTATGGAAGGAAAGAAAAGGACAGCTGAACAAGAGCCTCAGTCATGTCTAAGGCTAATGTCTCACTGGAACAAAATGTGTAAAAAACAAAAAATAGTGGGAAGTTTCCCCCCAAATTTTATTTAAAATGTCAACCCAGAGAGCCCAGAAGCTCAGACAATCCTAAGCAGGTTCAACGCAAAGGACATCACACTTTGGCTCATCAGAGACACATTTCTAGACTCCAAATATAAATTGAAAATGTTCAAATAGTCTGTGGAGTCCATCGCGTGCTGTAGGAAAAAAGGCAGGCAGGCCAGCTTTCAAAAACAGAGGACGTCAGGAGACCGTGGGAGCTAGAGAGTGCCGGAGTCGGCAGACATCCCCTTAAACAGCGACAGGGAAATGAAGACGCTTCAGGTAAAGATGACCATCCATCACCCGCAGATCCACCTGAGGGTGCTAAGGGAAGTTCCAGAAAGGCAGGTTCACTATGTTTAGCGAGGAAGGGGAAGAACACATGCACCAGCACAGTGGGGCAGAGCGGCCTCTGCAAGGCACAGGCTTGTGCCTCGCCCAGGGCAGCGGTACCCACCCCCTCCCACCCCCACCCCCCCCCGCACCCCCCCAACCCGTGTTCTCCGTGGGAGGCGCCGTTCCTTTGTGGAAATGTGACTTCCAGGGTGAGACTAGCTCGATTTGTAAGGACCAGTGGTTCTCTGCGAGGCCTCCATCTTGACCTCCTCACCTCAAGTCTGCGCCCCAGGCACTTTCTCGCAGTCTGACTGGCTGTGGCAGTTGGCATCCAAGTTTTCATACCTGGAGCTGCTTGAACCCCTGTGAATCATGTCTGCCCCCACCTCCAGTTTCTGATCTTGTGACACCTCCATCCTAAACTCTCTACCTTTAGCCCCCGTCCCTCCCCCCCCCCACCACCTTACGCTCTGGGGAGCTGAAGGAAGAAGGTCCGTCTTCTGTAGTGGCTTCCTGCTGGAGCGGGACGTAGAGCTGTCCCTACCTGCCGGGCCTGGGATATGGTCTCCCTGAGGCGACCCCTGACCTAGCTAGTGCCACTGCTTCTGGAAGGAGGTGAGGGGGCGTCCAAGGGGCGTGGCGTCTGGGCGGCCGTTTCTCCTGGAAGAGGCGTTGGAACTTGAGCGGCCTAGGAGGCTGCAGGAAACAAATTGGGCTGAGATGGAGTATGCGAGGCCAGAGGGCGAGCGTGACCTCAGCGAAGGGCCCCCGGGAAAGGCAGGTCTGGGGGATGCCTCCCCTCCCCCGGTGGCGATGTCCCAGTGCGGGCGAGACTGCTCTTCTCAGGCTGCCGTCAGCAGCGCGCCGTGAGGAGGAGCGGTGTGGTGGCGACGTGCAGGGGCTGCCCTGGCCGGGGAGGGGAGGGGGAAGGAGAGACTGAAGCCAGAGGAACTGGTGTGGCGGCCCAGCGGGGGACCCAGCTGCTCCTCACGCGGGTCCCTGCGGCCAGTCCCTTTGGTTGCGTGTGAAGCAAGGCCAGGGAGCTCCGCACACAGGGGCGCCGCGAGGATTCCTGTGCGGAGAGGACAGAAGCAGTGAACGCAGTAACAGGAAGCCCCTGTTTTAAGGATGAAGCTTAAGATGGTCAACAGCTTGTTACCAAGCCCCAAGTCTTCCCCCCCAAGAGCTTAACCAGTTGTTTGAAAAGGGGGGCGGGGGCAGCGTCGATGGTGACTGGGCGTGAGGCTGTGTCTGGGCAGCCCGTGCAGCTACTGTGCCGGCGTCTGCCTGGCCCCAGGCCACACGCGCCCTCCTCGGGGCCGCCGTCACGGGCCGGGGGCGCTAGCGAAACGGGCAGCAGGCCCACCAGAAAGCTGCAGGGTGGTGGCGTGGGCACGGGGCCCCGGCGAGGCGGCCGGCTCCTGAGCGCGCACGGGCGTCTGCCCGGGCACCGGAGGGCAACACTTGGCTTGTGTTTGGCTTTCGTGAAAGCCCTGCCGCTGCGGAATAGCTTCCTGCCCCGGCTGTGCCCAGCCCAGACGCATTGCCCAGTCTCTGAATATCCGGTGTTTTCAAATTTAAAAGGATGAAAGTAAAGTTAAAAATCCAGTTCCTCAGTCACTGCAGCCGCACTTCCCGGCTCCCGCGGTGCCGAGTCCGTTCAGGGGCGCAGACCGGCCGGCACAGCCCCAGAGCGCCCCGCGCCGTCTGAGAGCGATGCCTGCTCAGGCAGCAGAAAGCACGAAAACAAAGGTCCCTACATGGCAAACTCCAGACAAGGCAGAAAAGGGCGCGGAAGAGACAGACATAGCGAGAAGGCAGGCGCGGCGCGCGTTCCACCCAACAGGCCACGGAACGTTCTCGTTAAAAGGAAGCCGTGGGCAGGCGAGGTTGGCGGCCCGTTACTGAGGGAACCTGTGCCCAGGTAAAGGACGGAAAGCCAGGCCAGGCAGGCCAGGCCCGCCGGCACAGCCGGGAGGCGCGTGCCCATCAGGCTCCCGCGCACAGGGCCTGCGAGGGAAGGGCCGGGCCGCAGCTCTGCTGAATGGAAGAAAGAAACCCACCCAGGCGATTCCAGCGAGCAGCCTAGATGGACACCCTTGTCTCCCTGGACAGCGCCATCCCCCACCTCTGGGAGGGGAAACCCCCAGACCCCACCAGCCGGGCGTGGCCTTGGGGCGCCTGGAACAGGGGAAGGAGCCCCCGTATGGCCCACCACACGGGGAAGGAGTTTCCAGTTTCTGTGCTAGTGACTCTTCCCTGGAATCATCATGGTGCCGTGTGGACCCTCTGCCCTGGGCTAGAAGGGGCTTCTAGAACTCTAGAAGGCCCTAAAAATCTAGGATCCCAATTTGGAGCACCAGGCAGTGGTGCGGGGCCGTGAGGACCAGCGGGCTGCGCCCCACGGTGTGGCCTCAGGTACAGGCGGGCACGTGTGCGCGACCCCAGGCCCCAGCCCAGGAGGTCTCAGCCAGGCGTGGAGGGTCCTCGGCCTGGCCTTCCCCGAGGAGGGGTCGCGGGGAAATCAAAGGCGGCCACGGACTGCGCAGCGCGGGGGAGCCCCGCCAGCCCCGCAGGGAGTACCTGCAGCCCGGGAGGCGCCTCGGAAAGAACTAAGACTCGACAACTCGTTGGAGCAGCGACCCCTGGCCAGGACCCCAGGACCCACGGGCCACCCGACAGTGACTCAGACACCCCCTGCAGAGAGACGGGCAGAGAGACGGGCAGACTCGGTGGGGAGCGGGGGCTGCAGCCCTGCTGGGGACCCTCGGAGGCGGCTGGTGCGCGTCTGTTAAGGCCACATGTGTGGACCGGGGCCGCCCCCTCCACGCTGACCTGCCTCACCCGACCGCGTCCAAGCAGGGCCGCGTCCTAGGGCTCTAGGGAGGACTCAGCGAGCGGCTCTGGGAGGAGCGGAGTGGAGGGAGCCCCTGGAGATGGAGGAGGGCCTGCGCCCCGAAGGGCCCACCACCTGCCCCCTCCACTTCCCCCAGGAGCGTCCGGCAGCTGCTGGCGCTTGTCCGCAGCGGGATGCTGCCCCCCGGGGCCACGCCCCCCGCCCACATCCAGCTGCAGCACCCCCTGGACTACCTGGACTGGATCAGAAGCCTCCCCCACAACCTGCAGCGGCAGATTATCGTGCGCTCCCCGCCCTGCAGCGTCAAGCAGCTGAGAGAAAAGGTGCATGGGGGGGAGGGGGCCCCCCAAAGGGCCCAGTGGACACTGGGAAAGGCACCTCCTGGAAGGCTGGAGGCCTCTCAAGCATCTCCCGGGGCAAGTAACCCTGGGGATTGGGGCCCCCGTGGCGTCCGCGGTGGGTCCTTTGCTGAGCCCGCGCCCCACTCTGCACCGCTTCCTAGAGGAGGAAGGGGGTCCAGGAGGGTGAAACGGGGGGGCCTGCTTGGGAAAGCAGGAAGGGCTGACCTAGGGCTCCGCTGTGCACCCCCGCCGTGTCCTCTTCCCCGGGCCGTTGTGAGTCCCCCGCTGCACCCCACTGTCTGGCCTGCGCCTCAGCACCCTCCCCTTCTCCCCGCAGTTCATGGAGGGCCCTGGGCTGGCGCTCGTGGCCTTCTCCCAGGCCATCTCCATGTTCCCCGGGGCCCCCTTCTGGGCCATCCTCTTCTTCCTCACCCTGGTCACCCTGGGGCTGAACACCCTGGTGGCCATCTTGGAAGGCGTGGTCCGGCCCCTCCAGAGCGCCTTCGCCTCCTGCAGGCAGCACCCCAGGCTGCTCTCAGGTACTGTGGCTTCCCTGCCCTGCGGACCCCCCAGGTCGCCCCCGGTCTCCAGGGCTCGCTCTGGCACCTGCCCGCGTCCTCCGCGGGGACTCAGCCTGACCAAACCCACCTCTGCCTTAGTGGTCGTCTGCCTGGGAGGCTTCCTGGGCAGCCTCGTCTTCGCCAGCAGGGCCGGCAGTTACATCGTGGCCATGTTGGATGACCTCCTGGCCCCGCTGGCCCTCGCCGCCGTCGTGGCCTTACAGAACGTGACCCTGGCCTGGGTCTACCGGGCAAGCAGGTGATGGCCAAGCCCTGGGCCCCGCCCCATGGACAGGCCCCATCGGGGACTTTGGAGAGTTGGGGTGCAACCTGGCCCCACGGGCCACCCCTGCGAGGAGTCCCGCCCAGAGAGGGGGTGCAGGGGAGTGGTCCGAGGGCAGTTGGGGTGGGGGCGCCCTCAGAGAGGACTGCGGAGCTAAGAGACGCGGCTCCCCCTGCCAGGGGCACAGGCCTTGGGTGGAGACGGGGCAGGGGTGGTGCTCCCCGGGCACAGGCCCCACCTCAGGGAGGCCGCGGCAGCCCCTGAGAACTAAACACGCTCTCCCGAGGGGGCGCTTCCCGGACGCCCCGGCCTGTCGCCCGCTGCCCCCACCAGGTTCAGGCACGAGCAGTTCGGGGAGCTGGGGAGCCAGCTGTGGCCCCAACTCCAGTGCTTCTGGCGCTTCGTGACCCTGCCCGGGGCGCTGGCCCTGCTCGCCGCCTGCCTCCTGGCGCTCAGCGGGAAGGACGCGCCCCGCTACGCCGCCTGGAACAGCACCGCGGTGAGCCCCGCCCGCCCCCTCCGGGCTGCCCCCCTCTCACCCGCCCCCGGCCGTGGGCTCCGGGCACCCCGGGACCCTCGGCCTCCGCCCCCAGGGAGCCCGCGGTCCGCCCGGGGCTGAGACTGCGCCCGCCCGTGTCCCCAGGGCCGCGAGGGGCCGCTGCCCTACCCGGAGCCGGCGCTGGGCTGGGCCGCCGTCCTCGGCTTCCTCGCCGTCCTGCCCGTCCCGGCCCGCGCGCTGGGCCGCTGGTGGCGCCTGCAGGACCGCGAGGCCGCCGAGGGCCCCGAGCAGCCGCCGTCCAGGAAGATGCCGCGGGCGCCCCCCAGGCCCCCGCAGTGGCCCAAGCACCCCGTGGCCCAGGCCGGCGTCAGGGCGCCCAGAAGCAGCAGGAAGCGCGCGGGCTCCTCCCCCGGGCCCGGCCGGGGCCAGGCCCGGGCGCCCCCCCAGGACGCGCCGTGGCGGACCAGCCTGTCGTCCTCGTGGCCCAGCCAGAGCTCCTGGTCCAGCCTGCCCTTCCCGGCCTCCCCCACCTCCCTGCTGTCCCTGCGCTCCTTCAGCCTGTCCTCCCGCGGCGCCAGCCCCGCCCGGCCGCCCGCCTCCCCCCAGGGCAGCCCGCCCCGGGGCTCCGCCGGGTCCCCGGGGGCCCCCAGCACCGCCCCGCCCCCCCGGGCGGCGTCCGCGCCCGCCTTGGAGTGGGAGTAAAGCGCTGCTCGGAGAGGAGAGGGCGCCAGTGGCCTCATTGCACCCCAGGGAGGCGCGGCCGCCGGAGCGCGCGCCCCTCCTGGGACGGGACTGAGGGGAGACGCGGGCTCCCCGCCGGGATGGGAGACCCCAGGAAGCACCCAACTGGGCTGCTCTCGGGCACCCTGTGGGAAGGGGGGGTGCCATGACGCCGGGGGGCCGGCCTCCCCAGTGCGCGCAGAGACCCCGCGTCCTCCCGCCCCCGGCCCCCCCCACAGACCTCTGGCCTCGGCCTGGGGCCTCCGGTCCCCGCCCCGCCTCTGACAAGCCGAGGGTCCCGCCCGGGAACGGCCTGCGGCAGCCGGGATTTCCCGGCCTGGAGCGGGTGTGAGCCCCGCAGGCCCGCGGAATGCACCCCAGGGCCACCCGCCCTCCTGCTTCGGGAGCCAGGGGTGTTGGGGAACTAGGAGCCCCCCTGTCTGCCTGGAGGGGCCCCACTCCCTAAGTTCATGAGGCCCCTGCCAGCAACCCCACCACCGCCCTGGTCCCCCGTCACTGCCCGAACTTCCCCGCCGGCCCCTCCCTCGGTCACACGCTGCCAATGACCTGCTGTTGAGAAAACACCCCCAATGGATCTAGAAAATGGGGGGCCGCCGGGCATTCTGCACACGGCAGCAGCGGGAGCCCGTCCCGCCGCCTTGGCGTCAACACAGAGGAAGGAGGGGTCGTCTCGCACCCCCTCCACCTAGTGGCTCTGCGACACCGTCTCGGGGTCCCCAAGAAGCTCAGAGCTGCCCCCCCAGGCCTTCCCGCCCAGACAGCACACAGCCTGGCCTCCTGCCCCCGCCCTGGACCTCTGCGGCCAAGCTCCAGGGGTGCACAGAGCCCCCCCAAGGCGGCTTCCTGTGCAGAGCCAGGACCGCGGGCATCGCCAAGGGCTGGGGCGGGGGTGCGGGCGAGCGTCACGTGGAGCTCGGGCTTCAAGGCTGCTTCGTGCAAAGTGGGGGTGGTGAGCAGCCCGCCGGGGGGCGCAGCCCAGGACCCGCCCGCACATGCAGCGGGGCGGAGACGCCGCCCCTCCGGGAGCCCAGCCAGGGGGCAGCGCGGTGGCGGAAGCCACGGCCACAGCGGGGGGCCCCCGGCGCTGATGGGCGGCAGTGGGGCGCATTTCCCTCCGCGGGGAGCAGGGGCCGGGCGGGTCCCTGGCGGGCCGGCCCCGAGGCTGGAGGCTGCGCGGCCAGCAGGGTCTGGCCTCCGCGGTGAAGCGCTGTCCGCGCCCGGACGGTTCTGGGGGGCGACCTGGGGGGCCGCCGGCCGGGCGGGCGCGCGGGAGACAGGACGGCGGGCCGAGCACGTGCCGCCTCGCTCCCGGGCACCCGGCGGCGCCGCGGCTGGTTTGTGCCCGGAGACCTGGGACAGTCGCTGGAAACCCCCGAGGCGCTCACGGCAGCGGCCCCGCGCCCGGGGCGGAGGGGCGGGCGGGGGCGGCCCGGGAACGCGCCGCGGCCGTCAGGAGGTGGCGCTTGGCCGCGGACGCCGCGCGGCTGTGCCCGGGACGGGGCCGGGTGGTCACGCGGGGAGACGGTCCGCGCGCTCCCGCCGTGGGCGGGCCAGGAAACCCGCGCTCAGCGGGGGCGGCGGGCGCGGAGGGGCAGGGGCCGGCCCGGGGCTGGAGCTGAGGGGACACGGCGGGGGGCGCGGGACGCCCTCCTGGGACCTGCGGTGCCGGGAAGTAACCTCGATGGAGAGACGGGGGTTGGCACGGCTGTTCCATCCAGGGAGGAACAAGGGCCCCCGGGCGCACGGGCAGAAGTTCCCGTCATCACCCCGGGCACGGCCCGCCAAGCCGGGGAGCCGCGGCCGAGGGCAGGCGCGTCGCAGGGTCGGCGCCGGGGTGGGCGCGGGGGGCGCCGGGGTGGAGCGCGGGGGGCGGCGGGGGCGGGGCGCAGGGGGCGGCGGGCACGCTAAGGGCACCGCGGAGGCCGCAGGGTGGGTCGGGGGCCCGGAGACAAAGCCCCGTCACCACGGGCTCCCCCTGGCCGGCCGCCCCGTCGAAGGGTGACACCCGGGCCCGAGGCCTGCGGGGGCCGCGCCGACCCGTCCCGCGCGCCCGCCCCTAGTTAGCGGCAGGTGGCGCGCGCCGCACGGGGAGCCCCGGGAGCCCCAGAGCGCGCGGGCGGCGGGGGAGCGCGGCCGCCTCGTCAGCGCCGGCACCTGTGGCCGCGGCCCGCCCGCCCGAGGCGCCCTCGCGGGCTCTGGGCGCCCCAGGCGGGGCTTGCCCGCTCCGTGGGTGTTCCCGGAGGGAAACTCGCCCCGGGGCCTCGGGTCAGCTGCACGGAGCCCGGGAAGGCGGGGGGCGGGGGGCAGGAAGGACCAGGGTCAGCTCAAAGGGGGGAAAAGCCGAGCGGGAGTCACGGCCGGAGTGGGGCGCCCCGGGGACGGGTTACCACAGCCTGGAGCGCCCCTGGAGCGGAGAATGCCTGGAAAGGGGGTCGCGGGCGTTCGTGGGGGGCTCCTGCGGTCCGGGGAAAGCTGGGAGCCGCAACTCACCGCGGCCACCGGAGAGAGCGTCCTCCCGCGCCGCGCCGCGCCGCGCTGGGAGCAAAGGGCCCGCACCTGCCGCTCCCTCCGGCGCGGGCCGCTCTCCAGCGCCGCCTGCGGGCCGAGCCCAGCCGGGGCCGCGAGCGCCCGCCTCGCCTCCAGGGCAGGTCGCGCTCTAGCGCCGCCTGCGGGCGGAGCCCGGTAAGGCAGCTGGCCGGCGGGCCCCGCCGCGCCCCGCAGCCGAGCGCCCGCCCGGAGGGGGCCGCAGACCGGGAGCCGAGAAGGGGCGCGGTGAGCCCGCCCGCCGCGGAGTGCGCGCCTGGGGCCAGGCCGCTCCTGCCGCTTAGAAACACCAAGTGGAGCTTTACACGGGTTCCGGGCCCAGATCGCCCAGGTTTCTATTCAAGCGCAGCCACTTTCTAGGTGTGGGACTCTCTGAGTCGCTTATCTGTGCCTCTTTTTTTTTTTTTTTAAAGATTTTTATTTATTTTTATACAAGAGCTGGGGTACAGCCAGAGGCGCGGGAGGGTGAGAGGATTCACCAGAGACAGAGTGGGGAACAGATCAGGCAGAGGAAACACTGCTGAGGGGAGCAGCGGGCGAGGCAGGAGAGGTCTGCTGCGCCCTGTGGGTATCTCCCTGGCTGGCCGGGAGTCGATCCCGCGGTGCAGAGGCTGCGGACAGCTTCGCAGCGCTGCGCTCAAGCCGCTGGGCCACCGGGGAGGCCCTGTGCCTCTTTCTTACCTGCAAAACGGAGGCCATGTGAGCACCCGCCTCCCTGATAGGGGGACGTGAGGGGTCACGGATGCGTGCGGGAGGCCCTTAGCTCCCAGCCCGCCCTCACGGGCACACGAGACAATCAGCGCTGCTCGCTGTGGCTGTATTACCACTGTCACCACTTGTCACTGCCACTATTGTTTCCACTGGGCTGGTGAGACCTAATCCCGCAGCTTCCAGAGAAATCTGGTTGCCACCCAACACCTGGCAAGGTTCCAGGGTGACTCCGCACGCGAAGTGGGATTCCTCCAGCTGGAGGGAGGATGTTTGGGTTCCGCTGTCGGGCTGTGTCGCCGGCAGCGGCGTCCTCGCTATTGAGCTAATCATCGCTGTCCCTTCAGCCTTGTCATTACCGGCTTAGCGTGTTAGGGCTTGTTTGGTTCAACTGCTCGCGCAGGGGGCATGTTTGCCTCGCTTCGCGGGTATGTGGCCTGCAATTTCCCACTATTTCGGCTCTTCAAGGACACATGTGCAGTTCGCTGGTCGGATGCGCGTCCTCTGTTCCCCTGTTGCCAAAGCAGATGCACACGGCCACCCCCTCTCCCCGGGGTGCTGTGCTCACCCTCACCGTGTTGTTTTCCCACGAGAAAGTAGAACCTGGGGGGCGGGCTGCACGTGGATGAGGCTCTTCGCCCGCTGCAGGGAGTGGGCAGAGAGGAGGGGAGAACGCTGACACCCGAGGTGCGGGGCCCATCAACCCAGGGCCCCGGCCACCCCCCGCAAGGCCCACACACCCACCGGCTTCCCAAGAACCGAGCACCCAGCCCCGGCTCTTGTGAAAGGCTTTATTTCCCCAGTGTGGGGAGCTGTGAGCGGGTCCGCGCGTCTCTGCCCGGGCCCCGCCGCGTCTGCGCGGGCTGTGGCGCGGCCTTCAGGCCCGGCGGGCGCCGGGCCGGGCGATCCTCCCTGACAGGGCCGGTCCGGGGGGGAGTCGGGGCTGCTGCGGTTCGCACGGAGACTCTCCCCCGTGGCGGCACCGGGCCCATCTCAAGGTCAGGGCCCCCAGGGCCGGGTCTTTCTCTGCAGGCAACCCCGTGCAGGGCGACTCCTGGCATCCGCCCACAGGCTCAGTCTGGGGGAAGAGAGAGCAGGTAAAGGGACTGAAAAGGGGGACAGAAAAAAGGGAGACTGGCAAAAAGGGGGGAGCGTGACCAGCTCGACGGAGAGCAAGGGAGAGACGCAGGGGCCGAAGACGGGGCGGGGCGGCCAGAGCGGGGGAAACAGGGCCCCGGAAAGCACGGACGCGTGGGGGGGGGGGCGGCCGAGCTCACGGTGGACGCTCCACACTGACCTCTGGGCCCGCGCGGGGAGGGGGGCGGCGGCCCTCCCGGGGGCAGCAGCGCGGAGCGGCTCAGGGCGTCGGCCACCCAGCCCAGGACGCGGCTGCAGTGCTGGACCTGTGGGGCGGGGGGGGGGGGGGAATCAGGGGCTGCCCCCCCCCCCCCGCCCGGCCACATTTCCCCAGCCTGGCCCGACGTCCTCACCTCCTGTTCCAGCCCCTTCAGACGCTGCTCATACTCGCGGATCTGCTTCAGGTGCTTCAAAGCCGTGTCCACCCTGGGCACCGAGGCCGTGAGGGCGGGGCCAGCAGCCCGCTAGCCCCGCCCACCGGGAAAGCCCCGCCCCCGGGGCGCCACCTTCCGGCCGGGACCCCGCCCCCTTGGCTCTCCGGGGCTCGCCCACCCGCCCTCACTTCTGCGAGG